TTTCAATTCGAATTACATATAATTTGCTCCCCATCATATTTCCCATTCTTGCATGCATATCCATCTTCATTTTTTATTTCTTCTTTTTGCTGCATATATGCTGCTAACTTCCCTTCTCCAACATTTCTTCTCATTATTATATTCTTCTTTTACCATATACGTACATATCATATATGGCTATATATTTAAACTATTAACTCAATCAAATATCGATATCGCGCGCTACCTACAACATAATGACTTTTCTTCATTACGTCTCATCCGAGTCTTTCTTTTAATAAAAGGAAATCACGCATGATCGAATCATACTCCCTATCTATATATTGGTCTTCCATACATTAAATAACACAACATTTCCTAAATAAGAGCAAAAACATTTTGAAATTCCAAATTAGGAGTATGACATTACAAGGTTTTAAGCATGACATTTTTTTCCAAACTTGGCAGATTACTCATATTCAGAGAATAAAAAACATGATACTCATATTTTAAAATTTCAAAACGCTTTTACTCCTATTTAGGACAATTTCTGATTAAATAAAAGTCTAACATATATCGTGTGTAGTACGTAGTACTCCGTAATATATACTACCTTCGTTCTTAAATTAATGCAACATGTTGAATTTTACACTATTCACATATACTATTTTGACTATTTTTTATTTATTAGAATGTTCTTACTTGGATTGTAATTTACTGGTCTGGTCTGTTTAAGTTTGGTCTGATTTGGTCTGGTTTGAAATGGTCTGATCTGGTAAATGTCTCGTCTCTGTAGATTTTATAACTACGGAAGTCTGGTCTCGTCTAGTCTCATTTGGTCTGTTTAAGTCTGTTCTAATCTGGAACTGAAAACAATCCAAATAAAAACATCCTTAATATATTAATGTTTTTTATGAAAAAATATTGTTACATTTGTCTCATTGTAAATTTTCAATTTAATGTTCAAAGTTGTGTCTGACAAGTGTGAAGTGTTGACCGTTGCATTTATTTTAGAGCGGAGGAAGTATCTATTTAGCCATACATACAAATATTCCTAATACTCATTTTTTCAGAAAACAATCACCGTAGCTCTCAAACTCGATTGTACAAAATTAAATGTAGCTAATTCAATTGGTCATTAAATTCTTGCGTTTTTTATATTAGCTGTGCGTTTCAAATTATTTAATTGCGTTAGGTTCGTACAGTGACATGAATATTTTGACCTATTTATCGTCATCCCATATTATTATTATTATTATTATTATTATTATTATTATTATTATTATTGAGTATTTTATTGTTAATATACGCCTTTATTATTGGAGTACTTGCCATACGAACTTACGAAGTGTAATATTGCCAAAATACAAATAATTATATAATACAACATTTATTAGTCCAATATATAATAATTATATTCCGTATTTACTCATACATACATACATACATACATACGGTGTATAAAACAACAACAAAAATTACTAGCTAGCACAGAGCGATGGACCTCGGCCAAAATAACAAATACATTTATTTTTTATCCCCACACACACACACATATTCATTTAAATATTCATTTAAGGTAGGCCTAAAATTAAAATTTTAGGTTTCTTTCAGTTGAGAGACTTCCGGGATAATTTTTTTGATGAAATTTTGTGAGAATGTTCTCCATCAAGTATATATTATACCTACCGAATTTCATATTAAAATTTAATCAGGAAGTCGCTTAAATAATTTTTGTAAATTTGGACAGTTTTTATACACATAATATGATTTTTTTTTTCAAAATTCAATCAGGAAGGCAGCCAAATGATTTTTTAAAGTTAACTGCGTTTTATATGTAAGGTAACTAAGCGGCCAACTTGGAACGCGTACATCCCTTAGTAGGAATGACAACGGGGCGGGTTTGGGGTGACGGTTCACTCCCCCATCCCCGCCCCATGTCTAACCTCCCCATCCCTGCACAGTGGCGGATTTACTATGGGGGCAGTGGGGGCAGCTGCCCCCTCTCAACCCCCACCCTACCCCTATATATATATAATTTAAAATTATATTTATATTTATATGCTAAATATACACGTTATATACCGTAAGTACGAAGCTTTGACCCAAAAGCGTGTTTGGCCTTGCGGATACGGTGTCCAATGTGTGTGTCCTTGTCCCTAGTATCAGGGGTTCGATACCCATGTCCATCCTTTTTCCATTCCTTTTCTTTTATCCTCTTTCATTCCTATTGTTTTAAGTGATTTTACATAATTTTATCAATTTTTCTCAAATTTGAAAGATTCAACTACTTCATTACAATTTTTGTTTACCATACTTTCTTTGTTCTTTTTTAATTGTACCGATTCACTTTTCACGTTTGTCAATGCACAAGTTTGACCATTAATATCTTTCATTACTTATTAATAAAAAATTAAAAAAAATCTGATTTTGATAATTTAAAATGAGAGAAATTAACAATATTTTTCAAAAAATTAATTTGTTATAAATTAATAAATAAAATTTAATCAAAGTAAAATATGTGAACAGTGCAAAATCACCAACGTTGCAACTAAAAGAAAATGAATGTATTATAATTTGTGATTTTGCAATTACATTTTTATACTAAATAGAAACTTATTTTTAGATATAATTGTGCATTCAAATTTTACATTAATACTAAATAAAAACAATATTCGTCCCTTATTCAACTCATCTATTTTTCTAACATATTTTAGAAAATTAAAAACTTTATGACTAATTTATTTATATCCAACTTCACAAAAAAATCTTATTGCATTCAACTGAATGTGACATGATTGAGAGAATATGTGAAGTAAATTCGCCCCCACTCACAATAAATTCTGGATACGCAACTAAGCACCATCACCCGTTACTCCCATCCCCGCCCCACCCCGTTGTCCCCCACGGGTGCCCACAGGTGCCCTCATGTATATATTTTAATTACCTTATTCGCCTATTTTTTTTATTTCATTTTATAGATAAATAATTATATATAGCAGTAAAATAGTTAAAGTAGATAATATTGTGTTCGATAAAAAATAATATTGTCAACTTTTAATAATTCTTCAATTTGAATAAGTTCTATGAAAATAATAAAACTAAAAATATAATTAAACATATTACAATCATGTATGTCGTTCCAAATTTCTCATCAATTATAATTAGGGATGGACCCGGGCCGGGCCCGGGCGGGCTTTTTTTCAAGTTACATGGGCCCGGAACCGGCCCGGGTTGATACTGGGTCCGGGCCTAACCGGGCCGGGCCCGGTTCAATGTTTAATTTTTTTTTTCACTTTCTTGTTATCCCCCGACCCCCCCCCCCCCCTCACCCCCACCCCCCAAACCTCCCCAAAACACCCAGCCCTACCCTAGGAAAAGAAAAAAAATTGAAAAAACCACACAAAAAAAAAATGAACCGGGCCCGCCCCGAACCGCCCAAGCCGGTTCAACAAAAAGAGGGCCCGAGCCCAACCCGCCCACATGGGCTAAAAGCCCGGAACCGGCCAACTGGTCCCGGTCCGGGCCCGCACAATAGCGGGCCGGTCCGGTTCACGGGCCGGTTAGGCCTGGCCCAGTCCATCCCTAATTATAATACAAATAATCATATATTTATATTACACACATATTAATATATGTGTGTGTGTTCTATTTACTCAGCTTCTCACTTTTAAAACTCTTATATCATTTATGATATAAAAAAATTGATCATTACTTATTACTCCCTCCGGTTCTAAATCATCTTTGCACTTTGACTTCGCAGATTTTAAGGAAATAAATTTGACTTTACTGTAGAATACACTGTTTGACACTGTTTTGTGTAGATTTATTTGCCAAATAAGACAAATAAGGAAGTGTAAAGTTTAATATGGGACGACCCAAAAAGGAAAGTGTAAAGATGATTTAGAACCGGAGGGAGTATTATTCTAATATAATATGTATGTAGTATTAGTTCATTAGTCGTGACAAGTAAACATACATGTATGTATGTGCATGTTTTTGCTATATAGTACATATAATTTAATTAAATATGTTTTATACATTATTAATATATGGATGTATTATATGTATATTTGTGTATATATATATAATGGGGACGGGGCAGGTGTAGTAATCCTCATCCCCGCCCCATATTTTAGCGGGGTATAAATATCTCACACATCCCTGTCCCGGTCCCGCCCCAAGCCCCGCCCCATTCTCCCCCCGCGGGGCGGTTCCCCATGGACCCCCACCCCCATTGTCATCCTTATCCCTTATCTTGCATTGGGTGAAGAAATTAATTGGGATCGATTTATATATCCGCATGCATGGAAGAGAAACTGATAATAAAAAAACTAGCTAGGACTTAATAATTTTTTTGTTGCATGTCAAGTGTCAAAAGTTTGCACTAGCAGCTATACTAAGAGAGTGTTTGCAACAGCTTAAAAAAACACTTCTCAGCTTTTGGCTTAAAAAGCACTTATTTATCAAACACTACCAATTTTTACTTTTTCTCGGCTTGCGTGTGAAAAGCGCTTTTCCCTTTTCTATTACACAAAAAGCACTTAATTTACCAAACACTACCAACTTTTATTTTTCAAAATCATTTTTTTCTCAAACACTATCAACTTTTACTACTAATCACTTTTTCCAAATCACTCCAAAAATGCTTTTTTTAGGCAGAAGCAATTGCAAACACTCCCTAAAAGAGAGAGGGTCCATTTTATCATTTCAATTTTCAAATACCAAATTATATAGTGCCATCTTCTCCTTCACACTAATTGTAATATATATCTAAACGTTCGAAAGCAACATAAATTAATAGAGTTAAAGTACGCAGCTTGAGCTTAAATTAAAGAGATGAGATTGTAATCTTTTTTGAAAGAAACAACGGCTTATATTAATTCTCCGTACTCCGTATTATCAAGATTCTCATCGTTACATCAAACTCAAAAAGAGCAACACGGACAACAATTATCTCTAACCAACTATCACTATCAACAAGGGCGGATATAGGATTTCGGAGACCATAGACAGAAAAGTACTTACCATACAAAAATCACATTCAAAAGAGATAAATTGAATAGATAAAACTGCATATGAAAAATCATATCAAAGTGTACGATATAATATTTTTAATATTCAAAAGGATAAGTTTTTAAATATAATAATGCAAACATATGCAAAATATATCGCAGACTTGTACTTTTGATACCCTATTGACCTATCCTTCTTGCCTTTTGAAGTGCAAAATCATTAATAACATCACTGCAATCAAGACTGGCCAACACTTTTTTCTCAATAGATAATATAGCTAAGCCACTTAATCTATCTTCTGACATGGTTGATCGTAGATAGTTTTTAATAAGTTTCAACTTTGAAGAGCTTTTTTCTGCAGTAGCCACTGTCACTGGAATAGTCAACAAAATTTTGTAAGCAATCCAAGCATTTGGAAAAGAAATATGCATATCTTTTATGTACTCCAACACTTCAATCACTTTTGTTGCACATTCCGGTAAGGATTTTCCAAGCAACTGTAGTTCCGAAAATAGCTCAACTGCGTCAATATCACAATCATCCCCATGTTTCAAAAACGTGCTAAGCGTGTCACAATAACTCATCAGTTGCTCATCGCCAAGTCCCTTCAACTTACTTATGTCATACAAGAATCCAAATGTATCCTCGTATTTTTGAAACTGCTCAAATCTAGTAGTAAGTGAAGATATAGCAGCATCAACAACAAACAAAAAGTAAGTTAACTTGAATACACTTTCTGCTGATTTTATTGGTTCATCCATTGCATTCTCATCGAAAAACTTCTTTTTGGTACGAGAGTTTCACGAAATTGGGGTTGAATATTTAATTCAATCGCCAATTTTTCAGCTTCAACTTTGGCTTTCTCAAATCCATCCTCTCTATAATCTTTAAAATATGCAACTAGGCCTTTCAAGAGAGTAATAGCTGAACTGACAATCATATCTTTTTGTTGAAGGACTTTGCTAACTTTATTTACCTTGTTAAGTATCTCGTACCAGATTACAATAGCAACAAGAAAATCAAAGTTCATTTCATACTCACATATGGACCTTGCATCACTCACAGTGCTAGGATCGTTACTACAGTTGGTCAAGTGCTCTAATGCTTGTTTTATCTGTGGCCCTTGAAACCTGACAGCCCTCACACTAGCAACACGACTTTCCCAACGTGTATCTGACCATGATTTAAGAGTGAGACCACTTCCTTCACCGTCTTTAAGGTAAATCTTGAGAACCTCCCATCGTTTGGTTGACCCTACATTCAAAGATATTTAATCATAAAAACGATATTGTTAAAGTTAGTTAGTAATTAAAAAAAGTAATAAAAAGTATTGAAATGTAGTAAATAAATCACAAAGTTACCTGAAAATAATTTATAGATACGTTGCACCACACCAAAAAATGTTTTTGCTTGTGTACAACTCATAGCCATATCACAAAGGGCGAGGTTCAGAGAATGACAACCACAAGGAGTATACAATGCTCTCGGATATTCTCTTAACACCCTAGCTTGTACTCCTTTGTCATCTCCCTTCATGTTTGAACCATTATCAACCTTGTCCCCTTACATTATTAAAGTCAAACTCATGAATGTGAAGCAACTTTTTAAGTTCAACAAAGAGAGCTTCACCAGTTGTCTCAATCACTTTAACAAATGTTAAGAAAAACTCCTCAATTCTTATAGGGATTGCAGACACATTTATACACCTAATCAAAAGTATCATTTGCTCATCATGACTAACATCCGACGTGCAATCAAGAATAACAGAGAAGTACTTCGCACTCCGAATAACTTGAATGATTTTTTTAACTTCATTTGACAAAAGTTGTATCATTTCATTTTGAATACCATGGCCAAGATAATGATTTCGGATCTCTTTCTTCCGTATCCTCCTAAGATGCTCTTCCATTATAGGATCAAACTCCGCAATCATATTAATAATCTTTAAAAAAAATCCATTATTTTCATCTGAAAGCTTCTCCCTATGGCCGCGGAAAGCTATGTTACAAGTAGCAAGAGTCTTCACAACAATCATAATCCTCTTTAAAACAGCTCTCCAATACTCCTTCTCTTTATTGATAGCTATATCTCGAGAAGCATCAATAGTTCCTTTTTTTTAACCTCACTTCCGCTTCCCTCCATGCTTCTATGTTAAGGATATGATCAAAGCTTTTTTCATGCTCAACAAGTCTACAATGTATGTTGTGTCAATCATTATAGCCTTGACCCGCATTCGTTAGAGGGCTTGACATCACACTTTTTTTGAATAACACACAACAAAAGCAAAAGACTTTGTCTTTTGACAAAGAGTAAACCAACCATGGTCTATCATATCTCTCCCCATTTCCCAAGCATCGAGTGTAAAGTTTGTCACTGAAACTCCTTTTCCTATCAACGGGATATTCAAGACCACTTATTCTTATAGGACCTCTCTCTACCAATAAATCTCTTTGGTTTTGAGATATGGGTGTTTTCCAATTTCCCGGGTCAAAGAAATCATATAATATCTCAGGCGCAGTGACTTGACCTACAGTTTCTTCGTCACTAACAATTACATTGTCCCTATGAGTATTAACATCCTCATTCTCTTCTACAATGTTTGCATTATTATTCTCATTCTCACAAACAACATTTGTATTGTCATTCTCAACAATACTTGAGGAAGAAGGATTTGACTTAACATACCGATCCATAGAGCCGGCAAAGGATTGTATAACCAAATCTCTCCTCACCTTATTCTTTCTCTTCGTAGACCCCGAGTCAAATTTCCGCTTTCCCGTCATGCTAAATACACCTGATGACAATATTTATAGACAATACAAAGTAACAAAAATCACAAATAAATCAATTAGTATTAACTAATCGGCAAGCAGAAAACAATTGACAATGATTAAAACTTAAAAAAGAATTGACCTTTACTGCTTTATCACTATGCCTTTATTGCCTTTATTGATTCAATCATTCAATCAATACACTTTGTATACATCTTTATTCAATTATTAAACAACTAGTGCAGTAGTGCTGTATGTATATAAGTATATTAATTGAATATTCAGTCAATTATTCCTAGCCACAGACCCACAATGTCGGTTAACCTTTCCTCCTTAGAATTTAGCCCCTTTACTGGCTTACTGCCATATGAGGAATACCAGCTTCTCACTTTGCCCAATTTAGCAATTACTCATTTAGGAGTGAAATTAAAGTACATAGATATAGAGAAATCACAGATTTACACAGAAACACTCACGGAGGTCGGATTGTTGGAGTCACAATAGGCTGTAGGCAGTCAACCGCAGAACAGAGATGGAGTGACAGTAGGCTGTGGCGGACTGGCGGTGGCCGGTAGGCACTTAGCGATTTAGCAGCGAGGTCTTCCACTCTTCGGCAATCGGTAGGCGGCAGTTCAGCGGTTGCTACTTGCTCAATTAATCGGCAATCGTTTCCACACTCGGAGAGTTAAACGCGCTTGGTTTGCAGTTCCCACAAACCATGTCTCCCATAGGTTTTGAAGTTTATTACTACGTATTAATATAATTATTTTACCTAATAGTAATACTAATTTTTTTTGGAGGCGCCCTTAGCATGTGAGGCCCAAGGAACTTGCCTGGCCCAACTGCCCATATATCCGTCCCTGACTATCAACCCTACGACTAGACATAAAAACGATCAACGCTGAAAAAACAATATGAACCACTAATCACCAAATGGGTTTGACACAACATTCACTACCCATATGAATTCTTTTAAAGACATAATAGCTAACAAAATTGTCAATCACTATTGTAGGCCTAAACCGAAAAAATATCAACAAAAAGTAGAGCAATGTAAATAAATATAACGCGAAAATAAGATCATAAGAAATAAAATAACTGATAAAGGTTCCAAACTCTTTCCTCCCGATTTTCTTGAAACGTCATCTTCCAAACCCTAGCACCTTGATTGCTCCAAGGCCTTCCTCTTCCACCAAACTCAACCAAAGAACATCAACGCCGCCACTTTTTCCATTTTAATTATGTAAGCTTGTCATATTTGTTTAGACGTTTATGTAAGGTTTTGTTTGAAGTGTGTCATAACACCATCATCGTCCATTGTTTGAATGTTCCTGTGCAAAAATAATTTGCTAGGGCAGGTTATTGGTTAGAAGTTAATGGACCTCCAACGCTTAAGTTGGTGATCGTTTATATGTAAAGCAAAGTAGTAAATTACAAATGAAACAAGTTTAAATGTACCACATTCTAGCTTCTTGGGACTTGTCTATGGCCTTAAGTTTTTTTTCTAACTTCTTATGCTCCATGTCTCGCGATTTCAATAATCCTGTATGGTTCTTCCAGTCTTGGAAGTGACGACTCGTTCCTTGGGTCTCGCATATGGTTTCTCAGACTTGTAGTCTTGCGTTTTTGAAGAGATTGACTTCCTATACCCCTTTTATATTAGACCTATATGTGCCAGGATTGTAAGTCTTCCTCTAGACGGATAAAGACTAAAGTCTTTGTTTGGACATCTTCGAAAAACCGATATGAGCATATCGCCAGTTTGCGGTACAACTTTGAGTCTTCATACAAACCTCTTCTGTATGCTCCAATAATGGTGGTAGAGATGTCACATTTCGGGATGAACACCTTTTCTTTGTAGAATATGTTCAAATATTCCATAAGGGGTTCGCCACGTCTTTGTGCAACTCGAACGAGACCACTAGGGTGTGTTTCCAATATCATGCTACTAGCGAATTGCTGGTTGAAGAGGTTAATGAGTTCAAAAAATGAGTCAATGTTGCCATCAATGTTGTGCCAAATCCCCGACACGTGCATGACTCTCTATTCGGACTTGATAGAGATGACTAACACCTTTGCTTGTACTGTGTGACATGTTCTCCGGGTTCTGAGGTTCTGACAAAGGGATTTGTAATTGGCATGACGAACTTATTTGGCAACTCCAAATTGTTGATTGAATTGCTGAAAAGTTACTCGACGTAATTGGGGATGTTATGTCCAATAATTGGGGAACTCCATGAATTCCGTTGATCTTTTATTACATTCGTCGTAGTTGTGCGAAGCTGTTCAAGAAGGTGTTTGTCATAGGATTCATCGGGTGTGAGACAGATGACATTGTGGGACTGACCATTTAAGTGGATCTCATCTCCCCTCAAACAATCTGCCTTACCAGCTCTCTGTCAAGCCTCCCAAACAGCCACACATTCAGAAACAAACGGGTCGCCGTTTCGTTCTCCACATTGCAGATTGGACAAACTCCCAAAACTTGCACATGTTTAACTCTCAAATCAACACATGCAGGTAGACCATTAGCAAGCTGCCAAAAAAATAATTTCAGTTTCGGTGGGATTCAAAACTTCGAAACCATTGTCCACCTAATCCATTTTGTTTCCTGAAGTTCACCCACTAGCTTCCTATAGCAGCTTTGGACCGAAAAAATTCTGTTGGCCTCATCGTTTCAACGATATCCATCTTCAACCCATTTTAACCTGAATGGTATGCTCTGAATTGCAAGAGCTTCCTCCTCAGAAAATTAACCATCGATTTGCTGGCCATTCCTGTTTTTCCCATCCTCTAAAACAAAAGATGCAACATTCATATCTCAAATACCTTCCAGGCGGGCTGAATGTACTCTACCCATACCCTTCCCCGGAAGCCAAGCGTCCCTCCACACTGATATTTCCTTACTGTTTCCAACCCGACGTCGGGAACCTGCTACAACAACTCCTTGGGCCGCTCAGATGAAGGACGAAGGATTATTTCCTACCTTAGCTTAATCAAAGCTACTCATAGGTTTTACTTCATGAAGTTCTTATGAAGTAACCTCTATGTATAAAGATATAATGACATATAAGGAGTATAATATTAAAAAAAGATGCTTTGGCAAAAGTTTCACTTCTTATATATAGTGAATATATTACTAACTTTTAATTACTCTAATTATGTTTATTTTTAGTTACTCTGGTACATTTTTGTCCATGAGTTTAATTGAAGTAATATTTTAGGGAAATTGTCGTATATAAATTGTTATTATATATAGCGAATATATTACTAACTTTTGATTACTCTAAGGGAGTGTTTGCAACTGCTTCTGCTAAAAAAAAGCACTTTTGGAGATGTAATGAAAAAGTGATTAGTAGTAAAAGTTGATAGTGTTTGAGAAAAAAGTGATTTCGAAAAGTAAAAGTTGATAGTGTTTGGTAAAATAAGTGCTTTTTGTGTAATAGAAAAGGGAAAAACACTTTTCACACAATCACACGCAAGCCGAGAAAAAGTAAAAATTGGAAGTGTTTGGTAAATAAGTGCTTTTTTAAACCAAAAGCTGAGAAGTGCTTTTTTTTAAGCTATTGCAAACACTCCCTAATTATGTTTATTTTTAGTTACTCTGGTACATTTTTGTTCATGAGTTTAGTTGAAGTAATTTTAGGGAAATTGTCATATATAAATTTTTATTATATGCATTTATCCATACTCCTCTGTGACTTATAATTTAGTCAAATTTGACTGCCATGTAAACTAACTACTAATCAGATAAAAATGTGGGGTTGAAGGTTATTTAGATATAAGAGAATTAATAAGAACCACAAATTAATTAATTAATTAATTAATTAATTAATTAATTAATTAAAAACAAAAGTTGTTAAGTTTTGGAACAAACAAACAAAGAGAGCTGACTAGGATTATAAGGGCGGAGAGGCCTCTATAATAAATTCTTTGAAAAAACAAATAAAATCAAAATTTATGATTCAAAAGTGTGTAGATCATAACATTTGACTGGAAATGAATTACTAGATATACAATACTACTTATTTCTAATCAAAGGTACTCAAACCTTGTACATGCAAAAACAAAATGAATGAAAAAAAACATTCAAGGGGTTAATTGTCCACCCTTAGAATCGACTGTGACTGCATGTATATATTTAATGCAGAAAGACATGTGGAGTGAAGAGGAAGATGAGATTCTTATCAAAGCTCACCTAGAAGTTGGTAACAAGTGGGCGGAAATAGCAAAACGCCTTCCCGGAAGAACAGAGAACTCCATAAAGAACCACTGGAATGCAACAAAGAGACGCCAATTCTCCCGCCGGAAATGCCGCACCAAATGGCCTAGGCCCAGTTCCCTCTTGCAGGTAATAATCATTACTCATATAATTCATATGTAATATGGATCGATTTTGATTCAACTGAGAAGTAGTATAGTAGGTCTTATAATAAAAATGTGAACTAATAATGAGACGATTTGCTAGCTCATTTTAACAAAATGGTTCTGTTTTTTTTATAAATTCTCGTAGACTGCATCCATGAAAAGTGCATCGTTATACGTAATACAACATTGTTTTACATGTAAAACGCAACATTATGTGAATTGGAAAAATTACTCCCTTACATTGAAAATAAGCAATCAAATTTATTTGTATTTTGTGTGATGGAGAGAGTAATAATAATGATATAATTAGGCTGGATTGATAGAAATATAGAACATTATCATATACCAAGTATAATTAATTAAGTGCCATTGGTCTATTACTCCCTAAAGTGTGAGACCCTGCAGGCTCCCCTAGACACAGAAATGCCCAAGATATCCCCCACCAGCTCGTGTCATCTAACTGTCTTAGAAGGGCACTCAATCCCTCTGCCACAAGGATAAATAGATAGGTGGAAAAGGCCCCCTGCCTTACCCCCCTCGAAGGCGTAACCGACCTTATAAAATTTCTGTCAAAAGGATATTCCACATTCACAACACACTCCTTCATAAGATTAATCCATCTTTAGTCAAAATGCAGTAATTCTAGCATCGTTTCAAGGTATTACCATTCCCGTATATCATAGGTCTTACTCATATCTTCTAGTTTAAGCGCTATTTTCTTAAAACATGAAGAGATTCATAAGCCACCATAATATTATGCGCGATTAACTTGTTCGGTACAAAAGCACTATGTTTTTTTATATAAGACCTTTTAGGAAAACCTTCATACGATTAGCCAGGACTTTTGAAAAAAATTATAAACAACATTGCACAGGACAATAGTACGATTTACCTCCCTTGGGATAACTCCTGTTGAGAACATCTTTTGACAAAAAGCAGCTATGTCGTCCCCCAAAATATCCCAATAGTGCTGGTGGCACTCCGGGTCTAGACCGTCTAGGCAAACATAGCTCTCTTGTTTAACCACATTATGAAAGAACTTTGTATTTGTGTCCCCTTCTTTCAACCGGAATTTCTTTGCCCATTTTGCCATAATTTATTTTGTTTATAAAGTAAACAAATTTACAAAGCTTTTAATTATGTAGTTGAATTCTCCCACGTCACAGCTCACAACTCTTTCCCACACTACGAACCGAGCACCACTAATTCCTTATCGAGCCGAACTCGAGCTTTAGGTGTTCAGGCTCGGCTCATTAACAGCCCTAGTTTGCACACCTTAATTCTAGCCTGAAAACCCACAAATGTGTTGTTACTCTCTCTACAAGCTTAAATCTCGGCCACAAGCTTCCAACCTCTGCCAAAGCGCCACCAAGGTTCATTAGCTTCAATTCTCACTTCACAATAAAAGCTCATAGCCGAATTTACAACAATTATCACAATAAACATATGCCACCACTCAAACTTTCACTGTGAATAGCAAAACAATTGTTATTATCTCACACATTCAGCCACCATCCGACTTTGTTTCTTGTCTTTAAACAGATCAAGCCAACCACGCTCATATATCGATCTTCTAGTAGCTAAAAAAAATCCAAAAGCACTCTCCTGCCGTCTCACGACCTTACGGAATAAAGTGCCCCTCTCGAACAGAACAAAAAACGCCCAAACTGTAACTAAACATTCACAGTTCAGCCAGTAAAACCAGAAGAAAAGAGACCGAGTTGGTAGCAAAACCTACCAGGGAACGAGACAAGTCGTCGGTCGGGTAAGCCTCACTCGAACCTTTGGTCCAAAAACACAAGCCTCCATCCACACTCACTCACCGAACAACCTCTAGCCCGGATACGATTCCAACCCCAGACCAATGCTAGGCACCACCGTATATCTATTCCTCTACTTTTACAACTTTCCATGAAACCTTAAAATATTACTCCGCATGGAGTATTAAAATAAAAAAAAGCTACAAACTCTGATACTCATTAAAAAAAATGAAATACCCTACTTACCACAATACCACTCACATGACATGATTGGTACCGTACACATGTTTGTTGTACACCCCGGTTACACCCTATTTATTTAACTATGCAGTTATGTTCAAAAAATCATTTGACTGCCTTCCCGATTGAATTTTTAGCTGAAATTTGGAATGGGTAAACTAGACTTAATGAAGAAGATGCTCAAAAAATTTCATCAAAAAAATTCACCGGGAACCGCCCCAATTGGCGACGGCCGGGCAGAATCTCCTATATAAGGGGCTAATTGAACACTTTAGGTTAGTTCATGTACCTATTTGACCCTTTAGTCTTCCACTTTATTCCCACTTTCTTAAAATCTGTTCCAAGTCAATGCGAGAACAATTTTTTGGGACGGAGGGAGTAATGTTTATGGACATGCACAAACATTGATTTTGTGCAACCACCTTGACATTTCTGCAAAAAGTACGGCAATCAATGTGATTTACACGCAAAACAATGTCTGCTTACACAGACATTAGTTGTGTGTGTAACATTTTTATTTGTGTACATAGACAATTTAACCCTACTATTAGTTGTCTAGACACTTTTTTGTCTGTACAGATCACTAATGTATGTGTACAAAGACATTGATTTCCATGTAACCACTCTGACATTTCTGCAAAAAAGTATGACAATCAATGTTTTTTATACGTAAACCAATGTCTGTGTATACTGCGCCAAATTATTTATATTGATAAACTAATAATCCATAGTAAGAGTAAAACATGGACCAAGGTCACTTAATTACTTAGTATGTTTTATTTCTACGATTAAGGAGGAAAGAAACAATTACTCTTGAAAACATTGAAATCACTGTTGCTTGAAAAAGGAGGAAAGAAACAATTAAATTTTTCTTTAAGGAAGGAATGTGTCCTAGTGTTGAAAAGAAACACTAGGGGGCTATTTACTAGAAAACTGGAAAAAAGAAAATGGAGAAAGGGTTTACCGAACAAGTTTGCTGCAAAACTGGAGAAACGAAAAAAAGGAAAATGCGTTTACCAAATCATTTTCCAAAACAAAAAATGATATATGTCTCTTTTTTCCTTAATAAATTAGAGAAGTTTTACTAGTTTTTCAAATTTGAATTACGTGGATGCTGCAGTGATGATGCAATGAACTTGCATACTTACGCCTAGTGGTGGACCCGGATCCGCTCCAGTCTTGGTATCAATCTGGTCCGGTCGATGATTAGTCGGTCCCGGTCTGGTTCGTTCGATGATCGGACGGTCCTGTCTACTCCGATCAATGATCGGACGCTTCCGATCCTATCAATGATCTGGTGGTCCCTGTCAGCTCCTGTCGATGACCTGACGGTCTGGTCCACATTTTTTAAAATCATCTTTTCAAAGTGGAAAGTTTCAAAAGAGTCATTGGCCTGCCAACCAATATGGATAAAGAAAAAGAATTAGTCAAATTAGTCATTGGGATCGACCAGCACCGGCCAGTTTCAGTCCCAATTTTCATATACCCGGAATCAGGTACCCTTTTTGGGCTGTACAAGGTCCGGTTCCAGATCAGGACCGTATTTTCGATCTCCCATCCGGTCCGAGAAGCGGGTGCATTTTTTAATAAATGTGTTCTCAAATTTGAATATGGAAAACTAGAAAAATGAAAAAAGAAAATTGAAGATGGAAAAACTGGAAAAATAAAATGGAAAATTGGAGAACGAAAAATATAAAAAAGAATTGGAAAAAATGTCTCTATTAGTAAATGGGCACCCACGATTCCGCTTAAGAATATTTGTTATATTGGGCAATTCATAAGTTACTTTATAAATTCCTTCAAAAAAAGCGTCTTTATAAATAATTAAATAATAGAAATTGATCAATTAATTAACTAACCATACATAAAGTTCAAAAACAGGATTAAGAATATGATTATGTTCCCTAAATAGGACTTAGATAGTCCTATAAAAAGAATAAATTGATTAAAACTTGGGAAAGTTCCTGAAATATGAGTGAGCAAGTTTTGGAATTCCAACATATGATTGTTATGTTTTTCTTCCCGAAACAGGGGTAACATGAGTACGACAATGTTTACTGGCATCTTGGATTCATTACTGCCAAATCAGTTGTAGTACTAGGCATTAACATGGCAATACTTACTGCCATTAATGTCAGTGTTTTTCAATAATGGTAGAAAACTCTTATTTCGGAAAGAAAAACATAACAGTCATATTATCAAATTTTAGAACATGTTTACTCCTATTTAGGACAATTTCACAAAACCTGATATTTTTGTTGATCATATTTATATTTATAAGAAGAGTGAATTACCTAACTAGGCGTAAAATGTAGCTATAAAGCACAAATAGGACTGCATTGTTTCAAATTCCCCAGCAGGCGTAATTATGTGTGTTAAAAAATATATACCCTGTAGCTTTTTGAACTAAAATACATATGTAATAAAACTAATAAAAATAAAAAATGAGAAAAATAAAAAATTATAAATTAAAAAATCAGAAAAAATTATAAAAAAACAAATAAAAAATTAAAAATAATAAAAAGCGTAAAAAATTACTAATGCCAACATGCATTAGTAATGCCATGTTGATGGTTGTTTCAATGAAAATTTAGGCATTAATAAATAGTAAAATGATATTTTCTAGGCCTTTTCAGAAAAAATAGCTCACCGATCGGCAGTGGTGATGCTGGGAGGCAGTAGATGCGGTGGGAAAGGTATCCATATCTTTTATGGGTTTTAACTAATTTTTATTAATTTTTTACTTTGTTTATTTTTCAATAAAAAAAATTATTTTATAAATATTTTATTATTTTTTTTATTTTTTTAACTGTATTTAGCACTTTACTTTGTTTATGAATTAAAACATTCTACTACGAATTAATACTTTTAGAGGTATTTAGGGTAGAAAATTAATGTTTAGTCTTATTTGTGAATGATTTAGGATTTAGTACTATTTTTGAAATTAAGTTTTCCATTTAGTCTTGTAGGTCAATTTTTATTATAAGAAAGTTATAGTGAGAATAACGATAGAATGTATGTATGTAGTTATGTACATTATCCTTAGCTTTGTTGACTGATGCATGCAGAACTACATTAAGACAGTCCTTGATTTGGAGAAACATGGGGGTCGCGGCGGAGGTCGAAAAAAGTCATCAACTGTGGCGTTGGCGCAGCCACCAAAGGCGGAGCCGATGGAATACTACGGCGCCGGAGACCAGAACTTGGTCCCGGCGGATTATAACTTTGGATGGGAGGAGAAGTTTTTGGGAGGAAACGGAATGGAGTGTTTTATTCCAGATGGGGCTCTAGTATTGGATGAAAACTGCATGGGTTATGACCATATCCCTCACATCATGTTTGGAGAACCAAAAGAGCTCGATTTGATGGACATGATCTCTCATCATGTCAATCTTTGATTCATTTCTTTTGTGGCGTATAAGTATGAGCCATATACAACTGGGCTCACAACGAATTGAGATCAGAACAACTTATAAATATAGAATATACCTCCAATGTTTTCTTACTTAAAATATATAGTGCATATTATAACATATTATAGACACACAGAAACTACGTTACTGAACTTTCTCTCTTTCCATGATTTTCTATATTTTAATTTATTTTTACTAATAATGTCAATCACAACATCTACATCTAGGCGTTCCTCTTGACATTCTCGAGAAATAATTGCAAAAAATTGATAAGACTATTCAAATTAGGAGAGACATATTACATTAATTAATTTTTATGTATCTCTCTCATACTACGTTTGCACCATGCTCAGGGGCGGCCCTGGATATTCGAAGGCCTAGGGGCGAACAATGAAAAAATGGGCCTAATTTTAAAAAAAATTGTAAAACACTTTTCTACCTAAATAAAAATGCAAAATAATACGGAGTAATATTTAAATACCTTTATAATAAAGAAAATACTTGAATTCGTTAAATTAAACATAGTCGAATAGTGTTTTCAAAATAACCGAATAAAAAATTATTTAATGATAAATAACGCCCCGATACAATACACTTGCTAAGGCCGGTGTCATCAACTATAGCGTCATAATCAAACTTTTCTAAGACATTATTATGCTCAATACTTAATATAGCTAATCAATTAGTTAAATTTATAAATTTAACTAATTGGACTGCACGTTAGTTCTTCCTTTTTTTCAATCTTGGGCCTTTTGCGTTCTTGGGCTTCCTGAACTTGTACAAAATTATTAATTTTGGGTTAAAACTCAGCCTACTCAAATATACTATAAAGAAATAATTCTGGGCCTAAAAATTTTCATTTTTTTTGGGCCTAGGGCACCCGCCCCACCTGCCCCCCCCCAGGGCCGCCCCTGACCATGCTCATTGTTTCAATGGAAGTGCTCTTACAATCCACATCCATGCATTTTTTTAGGGTAATTATCTCTTTATTAAAAGGGTAAAAATACATAGTAGGGGGACGCGTTGCCAAAACCTACCGAAATTACACAACGTACGGGTAGCTAATTGCATCAATTTTGAGAATACCCTGAAATTTTGTGTAAACGTTTGGGCTACTAGTAATTGAATTTGCGTTAATCGCAACAAAATAAGCCGCCCTATTACACAATTTCTTAATGTAACAATAGTCAAAATGAACATAATGACACATTTTTGTAGGCCTGAAGGTTTGCAATCGTTGTCCACCCCGGGCTTTCAGTTCCTTGAATAGTCTTGAGTACCTGTAATCTGTCACTCTCAAGAATGATGTTAGTGTATCTATTATCTTGAAACAGATTTTTCTGTCGGATAATAATATCACAAAAGGTGGAAGTGTAGTCTGACTGAATATGATCGTTGAACTGATAATGTATCATGTGATTCATGTTCCCCTGGCTATCCCGAATGATCATTCCAGAAATAATGTTCCCATCCCTTGTAGTTGCTATGGCAATGTT